GCCATCATTGTTGTTTTGGTGGGCCCGGCTGGATTCGAACCCGCCACCTTAGGTGTATGTGGCTAGTGTCTTAGCCACTTGAGCCACGGGCACCGAGCCTACCATTAATTTTCTTAAATGATAGGTCTTCCTCCTCACCTAACCAACTGCTAATTCTTGGGCCTCTGGGAACAAATTAATTTGAGCCCAGTTTTCAGGGAGGAGGCCTTCAATCCAGGCAGGTGAAACTACTTCCCTGACTGAAGACACCGGTCTTCTTATCTACCTGACCCCTTTTCCTACGCCCCCTCCACACAGTAGGTCTAATCTGCCATGAATTTTAAGGAAAGGAGAAAAATCGAAAGATATAATAATCTTATCGATTTGTTGATAGGCTCCATCTTTTTAACAGTTGATAAATAATGTTCAAAGATCTTGGTTTGAACAACGTGGTGGTTTGATATATAGCCTTAGGCAGTTTGAAATATATTTGGAAAAGTAAGTGGTCGGTGTCCGACAAAGGAAGAAAACGTCCGCGTGATGGAAATGTTTCAGACCATATTACTGGGGAGTGGATGTGACTTCTTCACCCAGTTTTCCTGTCACCAGGGCATCTTTGGCTGCTTAAGCCAACTGTGATTAAGGGTTAAGAACAAAAATACAAGCCGGAAATAATTTAGTTCCAATTCTCTGCATCTCCCCCATTTATATATATCTTGCAATCCTACCTCATTCTTTTGAATGCAGTGAGCTTACAGGGTTATATGATACTCAAATGCAATCTTTCACAGCTATCACCTGATATAGAATTTCTAAATAAAGAGTGCAGAAAAGGTATCCATTGTACTTTCTGCAGAGTAAACAAAACTCGGATTCTAATCTCCGAGATGGATACCCTGGACATCAATCTATCGTCATTCCCTTACATTTCACACAACCTCGCAAGTGGTTTGTGTATTCAGCTTGCCGCGTGTGTACCTGAAGGGGAAATGGTCGGGATCTCAACTCCCATCGCCAGACCAGCAAAGCATTTACTACAAAAACAGAAATTGGTGCAATAAAGACAAACAAATGAAGTGAGAAAAAGTCCGTTTTGGTTTGTTTCCTTATCTGAGTCTGGAAATGGCCCTTTCAGAGTTGCCCAGCCAGGGGTTGAAGCAAATGCAATTTACTCTCCAATACCTCTGTGTCCCGTAATTCTTCTAGTATAAAAGCACATCCCCTTACGTAGCTGCAGTCATGATTTCATCTCTCTGCCCATCTCCCCCCGACGAGATGATCTTTTTCTAAAAGCCAGTTGGGAGCTCCTCCCCAATGGCATTATTTACAGCGAGTGAATCTTATTACCTTTCTTTAATCGACATGGTTTTGCCGGGCGAGTCCAGGATGCCCTCTCCTGTCGCTGTTCTGATCTCTCCAGCGGCAAACATGGCACATGGATTCTTCGGGTGCTTCTCCTGCAGTTGTTCTGAAGAATCTTGCTGCTTCCAGGACCCGAGGGTTGAGGTTGGAGCCACTGTTTTCCCAGCAGCTGTCCCCTTCTGCTCGGAAGTGGGCTCCCCGAACTCTGCCGCTGGGAAGGGAAGATGCAGCATCAGCACTTACTCCCCAGGCAAACACTCTTCCAGATAGTCAGCCCTCAGCACAGCAGCACTTGGGAGTTCAATCCGTGGGCACAGGGCGGGTTACCCAATCCACTTGGATTTATGCAAATCGGCAGCAAGCTGTGCTCTGTGAGAAAACCAAACTGGCCAGCCCATTACCCCACACAGCAAGGCGCTTCGTGGCAATTGGTCTGTCTGGACACAACAGGAAGTCAGCTTTAACTATGCACTACATACCATTTCCACTGCTCCAAAACAATAACATTTCAAATGGGCCATATTCACAAACCAAACCACTATTCTAGCGTGTACGGTGATCATTTATGCAAAGGTAGAAAAAGGCTTAAAGTCCCACAGGTTATACCTTCCTAGCCTGCAAGGCAGAGGCGTGGAAAGAGAGAGTTCAGGTTCACGGCCTTATTCCTCGTACTTACCCAGCCCCGGACCTTTTGGGTCACCAACTTTAAAAGGGGCCAAAAGAACTGAGCTGCTCAGAATGTCGTATGAGTTAATGGGACAAAAGCCATCAGAAATCCTTATCAAGATGTGTCAAAGGGCTTCAGGTATTTTTATTGCTTATAACTCATATAATCCACTGAAAATGCCAGATTTAGGTGGAAGAGAAGTTTGGGGCAGAGTTCCCCCTGAACTTTTAACCAATGCTAGTTGTAAACTGCCCTTGTGATTTAAATAAAAGCATCATCAACACACAGTGAGTCCCGTGGAAACTAAAAAACTATTTGCTTTTAGTCATTTACCTTTTAGAGAAAACCTCCTCCTCGTGACATTCTCCACATCTACCTTCTCTTCAAAGGGCTGCCTGTCTGTCAAGTCCAAGTTCCTGTGTGCATTTGGTTTCCCAGTGGAAAATTCCTCCAGTTCATCACCAAGATGGGGGAGGGGAGGATTAGCTAATTCCAGGCTTCCATTCCTGGGAACAGCGTAGCGAGGTTCCTTGTGGAGGTCCCCGTCCCTGACTCTGTTAAAGACGGAGTAGGTCAGCTCTCCTTCCTCGAAGGACCCATACTTCTTCACGCCGCTCTCGTCACCTGCCAAGGCTCGCTTGCTTTCTGGTTCTCCAAATTCCCTCGACATCTCTTTGTTTCCACTCTCCTCCATCGAAGGCTGCCACACTTGGGACTTCAGAATGCTTCTGACGGCAGCATCTGAATTTTCTACTGAAGAAGGCAATTTATAGTCAGTGGCACCTGCCCTGCCCTCCAGAGATGGCTTCGCCCGAAGTTCCCCTGCAAACATGGGCGAGACTGTAGGTGCCACGGTGGACACAGACGTGTTAACAGTGGGCGAGAAAGGAATGAGCTTCCCACTTTGCACCTGGGAGGGACACAGAGGAAAAGCAAAAGGCTGGTTGAACGGCATTGTCAAGTACATCTGATGCAGTTTCATTGCCTACCTTAGTGGTAAAAAAAAAAAAAAAAAAAAAAAAACCACTCCCGGGCTTAATTAGATAACGTGTCTCATTACGCAAAGTCCTATGGTGGGAAAGGCAGGTTGTACATCTTATTTTTTTTCTCTGAAATGGTCTCAGTCCCCATGCTTTCAGTAAGTGGATTATGAAAACAGGAGAAACATACTCATCATGGTTCTATTTCTTAGGAATGACATTATTACCAGATCACCAGCAGGTGACACAGTTTACCAGTCGATCCCCATAATGATATCATTAAGCTCAGAGTAATTCTGGGCTGCTATATATTTTCTTTTTATGTCACCCTGGGAAGAGTGCCGTGGCATCACAGCTCATAGGAACCTCCAACTCCTGGGCTTACGCGATTCTCTTGCCTCAGCCTCCCAAGTAGCTGGGACTACAGGCGCCCCCCACAACCCCCTGCTGTGTGTTGCTATGTTTTAAGAATGTACGCATGAGCTGGAATGAGATGAAAGACCACCCACCTGTTCCACCTCTCCCAGGGTGACTGGCTGAGTCTGATAGCGAGCGTTCATTCTCCTCTGTCTCATGTCTATTCTGTTTCGGGTAGAAATAGCCTTTGAGACTGGCTGGGACAATTTGTTAAACAAGGCCAACTTCTCTGCTAAGCTCAGAGTGGAGGAATCAGGTTCTCCTGGCTCAGCACAATCTCTGCCCTCATTTGTCTGGTCCTTGGCTAAAGCCTTGTGGTGAGCAGATGCCTGTAATCTGAAAGGAATAAAAAGTCAGTAACACGGGTAACAACAAGCACCTTTTACATGCTGACTTTCTTCAGAGTGTCACTTACTTTTGCAAAGGGCTTATTCTTCCCTACACAGATTTAGCACAGGGGTGGACAGTTGTTTAGCAATTAAACAAGTCTGTGAATAGTGAAGCAGGCATGGGAAGCTAACTTTATCAATGCTATGGAGAGAGAGCAGCTCTTTAGCTCGGAATTCTTTCTAAAAACGGAATTTCCTATTTAAGAAACTGAAGTCAGCTTGGCTATACCTTATCTTAGAGACAGAAGTTGTGTGGTAGAAGTTGCATTGTTAGTATCGTAAGAAACAAGGCTAAATTTAGGGGTAAGGCACTAAAGGATCTGTGCCACATTTAGATATTATCCAAAGATGTGGGTTCAGTAGGTTGTCTTCCAATTTTAAATACAGTAGGAACTCCGGAGCTGACCATCTCCCTACAATGGCCACCTCCCTAAGTGGATGGATGCACTGGACATGCACCAGATGTATGCGTCAGTACGATGGGCCTCGTTCTGTATGTTGACCAGTTGCTACAGTCCCTTGGCTGATCACCTGACAGAGGTTCTACTGTAACTCAGAAACAAAACAGCCCTCTGTCAATGACGTAATCCATTACATAGTGTTTCTGATTTACGCCATCAACACAAATGGTTTCACTTTGAGAGTCTTTCACTCTTTTCAGTATGACATTTTTTTCTCTCACAGGTTTCCACTAGTCTTCTAGAAGGTACTTCAATCTGTAATTCCCAGAAACCAGAAAAATGAGGAAAATTTCAGGCCATTTATAAACCCCTCCAACTTCCAGGTAGAAGAGAAGGAGGCTCCTAGTCTACAGGGTCCCTGTGGATCCTGAAAGGCTTCCAAGGTGATTTACCGCCACTGGCAAAGCCAGACCTAGTAGGAAGTGCATTCTGCCCTGGCCCCAATTAATCACCAGTTCACAAGCTGTCCCCCACCAAAGAGCCATCTCCGTTGTCTCAGGCACATAAGGGGGCTGCTGAGAAAGCCAGCTGGAGCCTAGGGGTGCTCCTTGGGTCAGGTGCAGCTAACTGGGTGGGCAGAAACCTATTTCCCCAAAGAGATCCCCACTTCTGGGTCGTGCCAACTTGATTCCTACCCTGTCATTATATTTAGCCTTGCATTTAGGCCTACAGCAGTAAAATAAAGGGGATATATATACGGTGTCAGGGCATCGTTACAAAACATCACAATTTAATTTTTTAAATTCATCTGTGTCTAAAAAACTGGGTCTTATTAGCCTGGATGTTAATGCCCCATTTTTCTATGAATCTCAAGTGCTAGAGTTTTAGAGGATTTTTTGTTTTGTTGAGATGACCATTCTTATGAAAACCAGAACCAAATGGGTGAGTTAGTGTGATCCCAGCTCCAACACACAACGGAAGCAGAGAGATGAGAGCCTTTCCCATGCAGGCTTACACGAAGTTATCAGGATCTCGCACTATGACAAAACAAAATGCCACACATTCTGGGAACGATTTCACTGCGCTGACTTGCTTTCAAACAAAACGAGACGCACTCGAGACGTTCAGTCACGCCTGCTGTCTAGCACCCTCGCGTGGGGCGCGGCATGCAGCTATTTCTGTCCGGTACCTGGCAGGCTGCACAGTGCTCCTAGCTACAGTGGGACTAGGAAGTCTCGCCACGACAGAGCACGAAGCGGGGATAGGTTCACTTTAAAAGCAATTGCCAAAGAAGAAACAGTCATGAGGGGAGAGAAGAAAAGAGGCGTTAAGGACGGCATAGTTTTACATTCGGAAACGTTACATCAAACATTTTCACACAAAAAGTATTGGCTGATCACAAAAGAACTTGAAAAGCGATTACAAACTCAGGAAATGAGAGACAGAGGCTCCCCAAAGCAGATGGAGGGACAGTGAAGGGCCGAGCGTGGAAGGAATTTCCACTATCTTTGGAACACACGTCCTGATTCGAAAAATAAAACAACAAAAGCAAAAAGAAGCTAATACTAGCCATCCACAAACCAATATGGTATATTGTGTTTTAGAGTGTTATTCTCATTCTAATTTTTTTTTTTTTTTTTTTTCAGTTTTTGGCCAGAACCAGGTTTGAACCCACCACCTCAGATCTATGGGGCTGGTGCCCTACTCCTTTAAGCTACAGGCGCTGCCCATTCCAAATTTTTTTTTTTTTTTTTTTGAGATAGTCTCACTTTGTTACTCTGGGTAGAGTGCTGTGGCGTCACAGTTCACAGTAACCTCAAACTCTTGGGCTCAAATGCTTCGCTCGCCTTAGCCTCTGAGTAGCTGAGACTACAGGCACCCTCCACAACGCCTGGCTTGTTTTTCTATTTTTACTAGGGACGAGGTCTCACTGTCTTGTTCAAGTTGATCTTGAACTCCTGAGCTCAGGCAATTGACCAGTGTGGACTCGTAGAGTGCTAAGATAACAGGCGTGAGCCACGACTTCAATCTAATTTATAGAAGAATTAGTGTCCTCACGGAACCTGTAAACGCATCAGAGTAGTTTCATTAAAACTTAATAGGAGATAACTTTTCCTTAAATTTATTGTTTTGCTCCTAGGGGTAACTGCTTCTTATTTTACATTAGCCATTTAAAAAAAAAAATATATATATTATGTATATTTGCGCACACACACACACATACACAGGGTGGCCATAAAGTTTGTGTGCAATTTAAAATCCCATACTATTTTAAATTGCACACAAACTTTACGGCCACCTGTATATAATGTGTCCGTGTGTGTGTGTCTTTAAAAACCACCTAATTCACTAATTCATGCCTAATGAATGCATGAATGTACTTGTCCACAAATATATCAGCATGTTGAGGGAAATGGGAAGAAAGGGCCAACGGCTACTCTAAGACAGGTCCACAGAGTGGGTTTTGACACTGAGATCTCTTGGGAAATCAATGCCCTGAATGAGAAGAACTTCATCTGGGTTGTGTGCACAGGTGCATGGGTGCGTCCAAGTCAAGCCCCAAACCAATTTTTACAAAACTAATAAAAACGTGTACTTGATTGAAGCAGGTATCTGTACTCGAATGACTCTGAAAAGTCAGTTCTGAATACCCTGCAACAGAGTGGTCGAACATGACTCCCTGCAGACTGGAAAGCTATCAGACAGCCACTCAATTTTCCAAAATTGTTGGTGGTTATTTAAAAAACAAAACAAACTGGCCAGGTGTGGTGGTTCATGCCTGTAATCCCAGCACTCTGGGAGGCTGAGGCAGGAGGATCCCCTGAGCTCAGAAGTTTGAGACCAGCCTGAGCAAGAGTGAGATCCTGTCTCTACTTAAAATAGAAAAAAATTAGCCGGGCATTGTGGTGGGCACCAGTAGTCCCAGCTACTTGGGAGGCTGAGGCAAGAGGATGGTTTGAACCCAGGTGTTTGAGGTTGCTGTGAGCTATGATGCCATGGCACTCAACCCAGGGAGACAGAGTGAGAGTCTGTCTCAAAAACTAACAAACAAATGAAAAAACAAAACAAAGAGAACCCTGGGTGGGGGTTGGTGGGGATGGTTTACACCTGTAATCCTAGCCCTCTAAAAGGTCGAGGCAGGTGGAGTGCTTGAGCTCAGGAGTTTGAGACCACCCCGAACAAGAGAGAGACCCTGTCTCTACTAAAAAATAGAAAAATTGAGGCAAGAGGATCTCTTGAGCCCAAGAGTTTGAGGTTGCTGTGAGCTACGATGCCAGGACACTCTACCCAGGGTGACAGAGTAAGACTGTGTCTCTAAAACAAAACAAAATATAAACAAACAAACCAAAAACCCCTTATATTTCAGAGATACATCCTGACATATCTGTGGATGAAATGATGAGATGTCTGGGGTTTGCTGGAAAAGTAGCACAGCTAGAAGGGGCACGTGAATGGGAATATAGGGAGAGCAAGGCAGGCCGGGCAGTGGTCGCTGCCGAAGCCGGGTGTTCATTCTACAACCCATCTGCTTTCACATCTTCCGCTCTTCACCGTAAAGGAGATTAAAGACAATATGTGATCGGTGTCTAAGTCATGGTACCAAAATAAATAAATAATTAAAAATAAAAATAACCCAATATGCACAGACAAAAAAAAAATAAACAAATTAGACAAAATACCTCTCCTGTTTTTCGGGGAGAAACAATATATACCCCATTCCATTACAAAGTTTAGAGAGATCACAGTACATGAAAAATCCCTAAGTACCAACTTTTTCTGTGGCTTCCAGCTAAACCATTTTCCCATTTATTAAAAAAAGGACATTATAGCCAAGGCGAAGGAACCGTGCCGGGGACTCACGTGGCGGCAATGACCACCTCCTCGGAGGTGATGGGCTGGGTGAGGGACCGGTCCTGCAGCCGGCGCAGCCTCTGCTCCACGGCCGTGTTTCTTGAGCGTTGTTTTGGAACGTTTTGTTCATCAAAGGATTTTTCCATTTCCTAGGATTAGAAACATGGCAGAATTCTTATGAATTCAAGGGAAGGGAATCAGGGCAGCAAAATGTCGCTGTCTGTTCTCCCACAGGACCTATGGGAGGGGCCCCTATAGCAGCTTCGTGTCACAATCAGAACTGTACACTCAGTTTCTGAGTGTACCAACAGGTGGCCCGAACCAGTCACAGAGTAGGAGAACAATAGGTGGGCTGGAACCAGGGGGCTATAGCGTGTCCAGAAGGGCACTGAGGAGACTAGAGTCGGGAGTCTCCCTCTGGGAGGGTTAGAATTCTTTCATTTCTTTTTCTCTCCCCCCTTTTTTTTGGAGGGGGACAGGGATGGGAGAGTCTTGCTATGTTGCCCAGGCTGGCCTAGAACTCCTGGCCTCCCACCTCACCCTCCTGAGAGGCTGGGATTACAGGTGACAGCCGCCAGGTGCAGCTGTTGCAATTTCTAATCAGACATTTCAGCAAACCTTACCCTGAAAAGCAGCCTCTTGGCAGCCACGCTCAGCTTGGCTCGCTCATCCACCTTTTCTTCATCTGTGAAAAGGCACAGGCACAAAAAACTGGACCCAATTAGAGAATCTGAGTCGAGTCTCCAAAAACCTAAGCCTGACTTGGAAATCCTTTGCCAATAAGCATAGATGCACTAAGCTAATAACTGGCAATACTTTCCCTTTGGGGGAACCCATTCCATGAAAAGATACTGCTTTCCACCGCAATGCAAACCAAACCCTGTCTGGACAGTGATTTCTACTCTACTTCCTTGTCCCATTTAGATTTAAGGATAGATTTGGGGGAGGAAATTTCTTTTATTTTTAAACAGTAATGGCAACAAGAAAAACCTGCTTCTTGGGTGTAATTCAGTTGTTTTCATATTGCTGACACCGCGATTCTCTAACTCCTTCTAAAACCCGGGAAAGTGCATCTGAACCCTTCAACTTTTTATATTTCCCTTTCATGGTCACAGGGGCACATGAGAAAACCCTGCAGAAAAGGAAGAAATTGATGTAGGTCATCCTTGTATTATCCTGAAAAGCCAAAAAGTCTGAATTATTTTTCTTTTTTTTTTTTTGAGACAGAGCCTCAAGCTGTCCCCCTGGGTAGAGTGCTGTGGCATCACAGCTCACAGCAACCTCCAACTCCTGGGCTCAAGCGAGTCTCCTGCTTCAGCCTCCCAAGTAGCTGGGACCACAGGCGCCCGCCACAATGCCTGGCCATTTATTTTTTTTTTTGGTTGCAGCCATCATTGTTTGGTGGGCCTGGGCTGGATTCGAACCCGCCACCCTAGGTGTATGTGGCTTATGTGGCTGGCGCCTTAGCTGCTTGAGCCACAGGCGCCGAGCCAAGTCTGAATTCTTGTGATCTAATCTAGGTGAGAGGATAAGGAAGAAGGAAGAAGAGAAACAGATACTTGCCCTCGATGGTTGGCATTTCCGAATGTGAAGTACTCCTGGGAAAGACATTAGCAAATAACAGTGAAAAATTAGCTAGGGGGAGTGGAAAATCCGAATAAAACATCGTATTAAAAAGTAATAGTAAAAGGCAGTGGGGGAAGCTCTCTGAGGGAATTTCCCCCTGGCAGCAATCGTGGTTGTGAACACACACGCACAGTGGTTAACGGTACCGTGGGACATGCACTCTCCATCCCACCCAAGTGCACACTGTGTGGAAAAAACACAAAGCCAAGTGTGACTTCCTAAACATGACCTGTGATAAAGCTTGAGACAACTCTTATCATTATCTAGGCAACACACACACAGACGACAATGAAGTATACAACTCGGAGACCGCCGGTAGACGGACCTAGCAAATGCCTTAGTTATTTTTATGGTAAAATCTAGCCGAATACTCCATCTGGATTCTGACTTGATGAGAACGTAAAAAACACTCAGACATGACGTGAAGAGAAATAAAGTTTCGGATTTCTTGCCATCCGACTGCAATTTTTAGTCAAGTGTCACAAGAATGGAAAAGCGTGTGGCCAATGTACTAGATACTAATATGAAACTGAGAGATAAACAACTACACCCCCAAATGAGGGAAAAACAAAATTAAAGTCAAGTGGGGAGTGAGGGGAGGAGGAGGGGGAGGAGGAAGAGGAGGGGGAGGAGGGAGAGGGACTGGTGTACTTACTCTCACCTAATGGGCACAATGTAAGGGTGTACAGTACACCCCCAGGGTGAAGGGCTCAACTACAACTTGAACTTTAATAAATGCAAAGAATGTAACCTAATCATTTGCACCCTCGTATTAATCTGAAATTAAAAAAAAAAATTCTGAATGTATTGTGATACCACCGTAAAGGGCAACGTTCTTTAAAAGTACATATTAGTCACACAAATATCCCTTATAGATTAGATGGAAGAATTACGGAATCAAGGTCATGCTACATAAACAGAATTAGGAGCATCGTTGTGGTAAAAACCGTAAAAATCCTGTATGATGTCTTTTACATTCCCAGAGGAGTAGAGTAAGCTATGTAGACACATGCCTACCTATCCGATTCCTTTCGTTCTGCTGAGGTTATGGGTTGAGTTCTAAATCTCTCAGAAGTTTTCCTACTTTCACCAGGAGAAATATAGCGTCTTGGTTTCCGGGACCCTCTCTCCCGTTCCACACTGGCGGGCAAGCCAACTCCTTTGGGGGACCTCTCCACCCGTGGTTGGCTTTTAGAATCACGGGGTAGGGAGTGTACGGAGGAGAAATGGGAAGACAGAGAGAGAGAGAGAGAGAGAGAGAGAGAAGAAAAGCAAAGGTTTATGCATCTCCAAGAGGCAAGGCACAGACACCACTAGCACCCTCTGCATGCCTCTACCATGCACCGTGGAACATTCCAGCAACACAATCCACCAGGTCCCCGTTAGTAGGCGGAAGCAGAATGGTAGTTTTTCTGAGCCATTTCCTGTAGAGTTGCCCTGCACACGCTTGTGAGCTAAGCTGATTACTATTCAACGCAGGACACCACACAAGTCGAGAAGTGACTAATTCTGCCAGGGTCGTGCAAGTGACACATCAGGAGGATGCCGGAAACATCACCTACAGTTCGGGTCTCTTGCAGGCGTTGGCAGACTCCAGAAACATACTTCGGAGCTGGGCGACAGAGACCTTCGTGTCCGGCACGCCCACGTCCCCTGGAAGCTCTTCAGCCTTGGAACTCTGTGGCTCCAGCTCTGGCTTTGAAGCCGGGTCCTTAAGCTTGGAGGCCTGGGGCGGAGGGGGGCCCGTGTAATCCGACAGCGAGCGGGTGAGGACCTTGTGCTTCCTTCTGTGACTGGTGACTTTGGCGTCGGGGGACACGGGCTCATTCTGAACATACAAAACCATTTCGCTTCTGCCTGTTCTCTCTGTGGGCTGGGGCTGAGCTTGAGGCGGGAGTGAGACACTTTCTAGCTCCTTCTGACGTTCTAAGGCGACCGTGCTCATGGCTGGCTTACCACCGTCCTCCTTTGCAGAGGGGTCTTCCTGGCTTCTCGCAAACCCATCACCCTGCAAAGTGGACAGTGTTTTCCTGCTCTTCTCGAGAGCTTCGGTGAAGGGCGCATCTTCTTCTGCTTTGGATTCACAGATATGGAGAACTGGCGACTCCTTTCTCTCGCCTTCTGGGATCTTTAAGGTGGGAGGTTCTATGACATCCTGGGAGACTGATCCCACCCAGCCACGCTCAGATACATTTTCTGGGGTTTCCTCGGTCACCAGCTTGGTGGCGCAACCAGGATCGGCTGGTTGGACATAGCCACGGCTGGGCTGTCGTGCAGCGCTGGCCGCCTTGCTGGGGACCCTATCAAAGGCCGAGTGTTCTGACTGAAAGGACAGGTAATGGACGGGCGCTGGCTGATGTCTCCTCTGAGTTAAGGATTCAGGGGCAAGTTCAGGGCTGCTGCGAGCACTCTCCTCTTTCACCAGTTTTTCTCTAACTTTAACTCTTTAAGAAAGAAAAAGGATTTAAGTCACAGAGGGCAGTAACTGCTTCAGGGGAAGAAAGCATGCGTGGATCAGAGACAACGGAGTCAAAGAGAGAACAACTTGTAAATAAGCACTTTGGTGTCTAGTATCAGGAGCTTGCCAGATGAATGATTTTTAGTTGAGTTTGCAAATTTGCATATATGTCCGTGTGATGTAAAGCTAACTCTATCCCCTGTAAGGCTGACCGGGGTCAGATGCTATCCTAGGGGAACTAGGGGGTAGGTCCCTTCTGATCAGATAAATACCCAGAAGTCAATGAAAAATGCATTTATATACACCACCAGCATGCACAAGGAGGCTGGTGCCTTAAATCAGTAAGCTTTCTGCCCATATAGGCCCCATCCGGGGAATGTGATGGGGGTGTGCAGAATACAAATGCCTATGGACCAAACGGTGCAGTCGCATGGTCTCCTGGAAAAGTAAGAGCATTCGTGATTTTACACTTTTCACTGAGCTCAAGATACAAGTGATAATCGCTTCTCTTTTGAAGCACTCAACTAAACATTTGCAAGCTTTTTCATGCAATGCAGACTGCATTCATTCATTCATGAGATGTGGGGCCAGTCTGGACATCATTACTAACAATGGTAGCACCAAAAGAATGTTAGAGAGGGCAGCACCTGTAGCTCTGTGGGTAGGGCACCCGCCACATACACTCAGGCTAGCAGGTTCGAACCTGGCCTGGGCCAGCTAAACAACAATGACAACTGCAAAAAAAAAAAAATAATAATAATGGCTGGGCGTTGTGGTGGGCTCCTGTAGTCCCAGCTACTTGGGAGGCTGAGGCAAGAGAATCTCTTAAGCCCAAGAGTTTGAGGTTACTGTGAGCTGTGATGCCACAGCTCTCTACCAGGGGCAATATAGTGAGGCTCTGTCTCAAAAAAAATTAAAAAAAAAAGAATATTAGAGAAAAGGTAATCACTGAGGGAATCAATGAAGTGAACATTTTTCCCCCTCTGGGACTGCTGTTACATCCTTATTTAAAAATTAATCTAAGGCTCGGCACCTGTAGCACAGTGGTTACAGGGCCAGCCACATACACGCTGGCTGGTGGGTTCAAACTTGGCCCAGGCCAGTTAAACAAAAATGACAACTACAACCCCAAAATAGCCAGGTCTTGTGGTGGGCGCCTATAGTCCCAGCTACTTGGGAGGATGAGGCAAGAGAATCGCATAAACCCAAGGGTTAGACATTGCTGTGAGCAGTGATACCACGGCACTCTACCAAGGGAGACACAGTGAGACTCAGTCTCAAAAAAAAAAAAATTAACCTAAGAAGAGATAGTTCTTGTTTCCAGAGTTATTTAAAATATCTGAGAGCAAAACTGAAATTCTTTTCAAAAGCTGCAGAAGACATATATCTGAAAGCTCTGCCTTCGGGGTCTCTTTGTTCAAATCCTGGCTCAGTTAGCTCTCGCTGGGATGCCTTGGGCAATTTAGCTGCCCTTCGTAAGCCTCAGTTGCTTTATCTTTAAAATGGGCATAATGCTGGGTGGTGCCTGTGGCTCAAGGAGTAGGGTGCTGGACCCATATGCTGGAGGTGGTGAGTTCCAACCTCAGCCCAGCCAAAAACTGCAAAAAAAAAAAAAAAAAAAAAAAAGGGCATAATGCTGACATAATGTAATGTGATGATTGCAAAGCACATGGCTTAGTGCTTGACCAAGAGTAAACATGTAATAGGGTTACCTGGCTCTGAGGCCTACTTTTTGCAAAACCATGTAGTGGGAAGGGAGAAACCATTGAAACTACTTGAGGATGGATTACCGATGGGGGTAGTAGCCTTTAAAAAGTCAAGAGTGTTTTGGAGCATGGAAAGCGATTTCCTGGAGACATGCAGGACTTTTATTCATTTAACATCAATCAGCAAAAGTAATTATTTATGATGTATACTTTCTGGGGAAAAAATGTTTTTATAATGACAAGTGCACCCCACCAAATTTGATAGAAACTCCGGTGTGTTTCCAAACAGAAGAGGCGGGGCATCTGCGTATACTTCCTTAAAGAATAATGGAAGCCACACGTAAAAGGTGGTGACTAGGAATAGGGCAGGAAGGCATTCTGAACTGTTATGTTTTTCTCAGAGGCCAGCCAGTGTCGGAGGCTTTCATATTTATAATCTTTGTTCATCAAAAGGAGACTGAAATGTGGTTGCCGTCCTCCCGTGGAATGTGTGCTTCTCATTGGAGACAATCTGCGTGTTGTCCTCAGCCGAGAACAAAGTGGCTGTTAGAGACTCACTACATGGGCGCTTTGTCTCCCCCACGACTTACTCATTCCTGCTTCGCCTGCGGCTCCCTGCCCCCAGTCTTAAAAATGAAATGATAGAGGGGTTTGTCCTCCTTTAAAACCGCATGCCCTAAATTTAAAGGTTGAACATGACTGGTTTGGAGAGGAGGAGACTTGAAAACAAGGAGGCTGGAAGGAGGGAAGTGGCCAGATGGGACACGGGCTGGTCGGTGTGATTCAAGAGGGGAGCCGCTCAGAGAGCCGGCTCGGTGCTCACTACTGCCCCCAACTGGCAGATGCTACATGAGACAGTAGGGGGTGGGGGAAACAAGGCGTGTAGCAAAAAGATTGTAGAAAAAACTCAGGAGGAATGAGAAAGACTATTAGCACAGATAAGGGAATGTGGAGGAGAAAAGCAAATGATTAGAAAGTAACTTCTAGAGGTCCCTTTTGGAACACACGTGCACCGTTGTCAGTAAAAAGAGAGGAAGAGGAGAGTGTTAGCTGAGGTGTGGGACAGCAGGACAGGTCAGAGGACAAAAGGCAGCATTCACTGAACAGGGGCCACAGAGCGCCGGCTTGGGGTATACCTGGAAGGCCAGTTGATGAGTGAAGGTGTGTCTCCTTCAGAATCTTTCTGGAGAAACCACTCGTGTTTGGGTTTCCCTGTACTACGGTGTACAAAAAACACTACTTCAGATAATCTCTACGAACAGGTCAACATATACACTGATTTGATTATAACTTAACACCTACAGGTTGATTTTTTAATCTAGGATGATCCCTGGGTTTTGAAAGGGCACGAGCACATTCTGCCACATGGTTTACAGTGACACTTCAAGGAAATAAATATATCTAAGGCCACCCAGTAACATGTTTTCTCAAGTAATTTTATATGATTAGAAAGTAGTCTGTGATAGCCACACCCTTCCCATAAATACAAGGCAATTCTCTTGCAAGAAGCTGGACTAAAAGTATAAAGCAACTTAATTTCCATAAGTTTTGTTGAGGTATATTGGTAAATAGTCAAATACAAAAATAGTATCCACATAAAACAATACATATCAAATTTATCTTTATCAAAGAAATAAAAAGGAATAAAAAAGAAATTCAATGGGATCCTATCTTCAGTTGCTATTATACAATTTCCTTTTTTATTTATCCCCCCCAAATACAACCAACACAAGAGTTACAAGTTCTAATTCAGGTCCATTTTGAGGGATGTTTCTAGAGCGCCTACTGTGTGCAAAGTCATGAGCTAAGCTCGGAGAAATGAAAACAGTGAATCAAAAATCAACCCAGCCATTAAAAACCTTGCACTGTGGCAGGCGTGATAATATACGATCTACACATTCATTCCTCAACACGCAAGGGATATAACACAAAGTGGAGGGTGACCAAGTAATTATGGTAGGCTGAAGATATTTTAGAGAAAAATCATAGGCAAGGACAACCTTTGACAATGTTAAGCAAGTCCCAGAAGGGATCTTCAAATTACTGACCTGTTTTCTCTTACAATGTAGAAAGAAAAAAAAAAAAAGGAAAATCTACAGGCTAGTTAGCATATTTAACCAGTTCAAAAAATCTTATGAACCTATCTACAAGAGTTCTTCATTCAGTGCCAGGCTGGAAACATTTCAGCTCAAAGCAATTTCCGAAAAAGAATGAGAATTATATTAAATTATGTTAATTTTCTAAATTCAAGTTTTGGTTCGAGGGGACAAGCAGGAACGTGTCACCACTATTATACATCTCGGCTCTAACTGCTAAAATCTGTCTCGTGAGCTTGGACAGATGTGTTTTTCTCCACTAAAACTTTCTTAGTCTTTCTATACTAAGGTGACCAGACATCCCGCTTTTGGCGGGACAGTCTCGATTTTTAACAATTTGTCCCGTGTCCCGCGGCATTTTAAAAAAGTCCCGATTTTTGGAAAGAATGAACAACAAGCTAGGGAACAGCAGGAGAACGGGAAGGGAATATACAGTTTTCTGCTGCCATGTGGCTATTTTGCCAGGATATGAGTTTTATATTATTTTTGTTAATTTTATAATGGTAAACTTTAATAATAACAAATAATTGTTGAGAACTGCTTATTAAAGTTCGCATTGTTGATCAGTTGTTAGAATTCGACCACCATTGTTTGGACTTAATGAACAATGGCATTTTTTGGCATTGGCAGAGACGAAAACATTTTGTAACTGTCTCTCAGAGGATACCCAACGTACTGCGTGCTAGTGCTAGTGAAACAAATGATGTCAACAAATCAGCTATTCAGATAATTTAGGTAAGTCATTTATTTATTTATTTCATGAATTTAGCAGACAGTACTTGTATTATTTATATTTTATAGTGGCAGCAAAAAGTCTAGTGCCGGCCTTGAAAGTGACACTTATGACTTACAAGGTATCATTATTAAAAAAATATATTGATAAGGAAAAGGTTAAATCTTGGGCATCAGCAAAAATCAAAATAGAGAACAAATGGTTAATAATATTTCATCATTTTGAAACAAGCCATGTTCCATACAATAATGCACCAAAAATTGTGGGATATGTGCTGTCCTTACCAGGAACTAATGCTGTGACTGAACGCGTTTTTTTCTATGGTAAATAAAGTGTGGACATCAGAAAAATCACAATTAATTGATTTTGAGACTTTGAAAGCCATTTTATGTGTGAAATATAATTTAACAAATTCTTGTGAAAAATTTCATGACCTTTTAAATGACAGCAATCTACTAAAAAAAATTCACTCAAAAGAGAAATATGCCAAAGAATAAAATAATACTATACATAATTTTTTAATGTATTATATTTGTAAATTGTAATTATGTTGAAATTAAAAAAAATTACAATACTATTTTTGCATTCTATGAAAATTTTTGTTGCTCCATATAGACCAAATTTTTAATTAAGAACCCCCGCCCATCAATGGTGTCCCGCTCTACCAATGTTAAAATCTGGTCACCTTATTCTATACCCAAAACTATCACCTACTTTCTGACAGCCAGTGTTACAGCAATTTCACCCACTGCAAATAAAAAATTAAGATGTACTTAAAGTCATTCTATTTTTAACCATAAAGGGTCCAATTTTTCAACTTTTGTTTGAACACAGGACTAGCTTAGTCTATCATCTGCAGCTCAGCACAGGACTTAGAGGGGAAAGGAGGATGTAATAGACACTTATTTTCAAAAACGATATCAAGTTAATTATTATAACAACACGCCTACCTCATACAGTTATTTTGAGACTCAAATGCTTTTTGTACAACAGAACGCATTTGAAGCCATGAATTGCTACCCAACTTTCTGAAGATGACCTTCCAAGAACAAAACTTGGTCAGCATCGCTGGAGATGATCACGAGGGGCTTGAGTCACCGTTTACAAAATGGAAATCCTACACGGATTGGGGGGAGGGGACTTGCTGAGTCATCACTTATAAAATGCTGAGTCACCATTTATAAAATGGAAACCCTACACAGATACGGGGGGTGGGGGTGGAGGACTTGCTAGACCCTCCTTATCTACTACAACTGGGATATGGAACTAGCCAAAAGACAAGTCACCAACCTCAGACTAGTGAATACTCCAAGTTTGGCATTTCATAAGTAGGGATCCCTGACTTAGCAATGGTTTGATTTGTGATCTTTCGACTTAAGGACGGCAAAAAGTGACAGACATTCAGTAGAAACCATACCTCACATCTTGACTGTTCATCTTTTCCTGCGCTAACAGTATTTGATATGATATTCTCATGATCCTGGGCTGAGGCAGGGAGCTGCAGCTCCCAGTCAGCTATGCGATCACTGAGTAAATAACCAGTACTCTAGAATGCAACTTGTTGCCAAGTGACTCGCCCAACTGTCAGCTACTCTAAGTGTTCTGAGCACGCTTAACACATTAACTGCCATGCAAGTTGTATGTAAACTCAAGCTGATTTGGAGGCTATGCTGCATGAAGTGTATATAACTCACAGGGTTATATATATATATACACTTTTCCTTGGCTACCTGGGGAGCTGCCTGGGCCCCAAGGGAACAGAATTTTTTTTTTTTCTGGTCTAGTTATATGTCTCTTTTCCTTGGCTACCTGGGGAGCTGCCTGGGCCCCAAGGGAACAGAAAATTTTTTTTCTGGTCTAGTACAACAGTCAATGTGTTAAGGTAGGCTAAGCTGTGATGTTTGGTAGGTCAGGTGTATTTGATGTATTTCCAACTTACAATATTTTATTCTTTAGACTTACGATATTTTCGATTTATGATGGGCTTACCCCCGTGGTAAGTTGAGTAATATCTATACAACAAACACAAATAAATGTCTGTAACACGAGCTAAACAAATGTATGCCGAGCACATGGTAAGCCTTTCAAAATTTATTTTTTCTCTTCTTCCTTCTGCACAATCAACAGTGCTGGAAGTTTCTGAGCTACTGTTTTCATGTCTTAAAGACATGTTACACAGAGATCCAATTCAGAACTCCTATGATGTTAAGGAGGGTGAGTCCTGCCCCACCAGGAGGGCATGAGTTTGTCTTAAGACCATTGAAAGGAGGAGTGATTGAGAACAGTATTTCGCTAAGTAAGGCTTTCGGGATCCTTGAGGTTGGCTAAGGCACGTGTTTGGGTAAGATCTTCTGCTGTCAAAAACAGAACAGAGAGGGGGATAAGCTGAATTTAATTGAATACTGTGCATGAGGCTGCCCTGAGTGCTGGGTAGTTACAATCGGTGGCCACTCCTCACACTGACCATCAGCAGGGCATACTGGCCATCTCTGGCTTCATCTGCCTTGGTTCTCTGGCATCAGCTTTCTTTGTTGATTCTTCCTCACCAACCACAAGATAGAGTGCCCCAGGGGTTGTCTTGACATTTCCATTTGGATATCTAACATCATAAAGTTAACATGCCCCCCAAATGAACTCTTGTTTCCCTCCAGACCCAACTTGTACTGGAGTCCTGCCTCTCCCAGTAAATGGAAAATCCTGGGTTCAAGTTGCCCTGCCCTGCATAGCCCACATCTAAGTCATCTGCAAATTCTCTGTTACCTTTAAACTATACCCTCCTTTCCCACCTGTGCTGTTATCATTCAAACCACCACCATCTCTTACCCGCATTCCCGATATGACTTCCTAATTATTCTGTTTCTGTGCTAGCCCACCTAATGTCCAAGTTCAGCTTGGGAGCCAGCCTCATTCTTTGAAAACCGAAGGCAGATTGACCATTCCTCTTTTGAAAGCCTTATAAGGTTCCACATGTCTTTCAGAGGAAAACCTAAAGCCTCGCTTGGCTGTAATGCCCTCCTTGATGGGTCCACCTGTCACTGCACATCTCAATAACTTCCCCTTACCTCCACTTCCCCTGTGTTTCTACCTCTTTCTTCACTGAGACATAGGAGCTTCTGGGAGAAGGCTTTGTGCACTATTGTGTCACTAGCACTCAGGACAGTGTATGGCAAATGGCAGGTCTTGGACATTGATGGAACGAATGGGTGTTGGATAATAATCTCTACAATAACCCCAGGAGGTATTCTTATCCTCATTTTACAGATGAACAAAATGAGGCACCAAAAAAAATCCCCCAAAGGATATTAACAGCCCAGGATTGCATAGCTGGTAACAAAAGCATGGGGCTTAGACCCCATGTTGCATGACCCCAAACCTATGTCTTCTAGCA